AGCTACACCCCACACACTTTAGACATTTTTTTCAAAATGCTTGTCAACACTTCATACCACTGAAAGCTATCACATTTTCCTAAAGACTTAAATGTGTAAGGGCTTGCAAAGATCCTCAAGAGCACTAAGGTATAATCTCATTTCAATACCTGTAAAGGGATTTTAAAAAGTTGGGATTCTTTTTAGTAGCATAACAGAGACCGTTGGAAAAAGATTACTTTCTTCCTTTAATACATAACAATAGTTTAGTAAACATATCCCAGTCTAAGCATTTGTAAAACCAGAAACAGATTTGGGCGAAGAGAGTTCTTTAAAGTTGGCATTATAAAGGCATGGTCAAATCACCAACAGCAAAAACCTGCCCAAAAACACACTTACCCCTGTAAAGCTTTGTGCATTCGTTCACATTTAGCCCGGAGAGTCTGAAAAATGTCTATACACAACAACAACAAAAAAACAAAAAAAAAGAAAAAAGGAAAATAAAGAAAAAGGCTTAGATATCATGTTTCTACTTTACATTTCTGTTAAGTCTAAGATTTAAAAAACAAAAAAAGCATTTAGAAGGAAAACTAAGATATATGTATCTATTGATGTATTACGTCTCTTCACTACTTTTCATAATGTTCCTTATTCCCATTTCTGCCAGGAAGTGACAGGCTTTTAAGATCTGACAAATGCATTACTTCCCTTTATCTCATTTCTCCAGGTGCATTGGTTCATGATCACATGTCAAGGATGACTCAAACACTTGGTAATGGGATTGAAATAGCAGGCTTAACTTATTTGTATCTGTAAAATATCTACAGCCAGGCAGACTCTACTCCTTGATCCTTTCACCAACTCACTGCAGATTCTTAAAGATGAAACTTCGACTCCTGGATCTGCAAACCTTGGTTCTTTTCCTCAGTAAAGGTTGACCCTCCACTACAGCTAGAAGTCCCGTAACTTACTCTTAATTTTTCCTTGCTTTTGTTTCACTTCTGAGGACAAGGCATGGGCTACCCAGTCATTTTTATTTATTTGTGACAAAAAAGTCTTTCTTAGGGTCAAGCAGCAAGGGCAATTCTATGACTCCTAGAGCAGAAACTCGTGCCTGCCAACTTTATCCAAATGTCCTGTACCTGGTCCTGACAAAATTGCATGTGTTTGCACCATAATCACTCCTGAGATTCTTGCCTGGATGCTTACTCGGAGAAGAAAAAAAACATTGTGTAGTGCAAGTGGAAAGGAAAGGGTTGTTCAGTCCTGAAGAAATTTATTCCCATTTGTTTCTCTTTAACCTTCCCCTCCTCTAATTGTCTTGAAGGAATTTGTTTTCAAGGAAGAAGCATATCACTAGTCTATAAAGCAGAATAATAATTTCTTATTTGCGTAGTGATAACTATCTCTGTCCCTCCTAGCCTCAATTAACTTGCTCATTTTCAGCGGGAAGAAGGAAACACTGAAAAAGAAAAGCAGGATGGGAAGTTATATGAATAAAAAATCACGCATGTAAAATTAATTAGCAGAAAAAGAATGGACTTAAAATTTTAAGTAAAAGAATGAGGAATCAAAGTAGGGAGAAGTATGAGTTATTAGTTTTGGGTGAAGAAAGACTGAAGAATAAGATTTTATTGAATTAAGTACCTGGATTATCTTCCATAATATTCAGAGCTTCAATAGCAGCAGCAGCTAACAAAGGAGGCAGGGATGCAGAAAAGCAGTAGCCTTGACCAGACAATCGCTATGAGGGAAAAAGAAAAAAAAGAAAAAAGAATTCACTTTTTTTGTTTATAGCAGTATAGACAATGTTTTAAAAGTTAATTTATGTATGTTTAAACCACCTCTCCTCTACACTTACACATTCATAGAAGGATTTAAAAGTAGGTTCTCCAGTTCATCTATACTTCCTAGAACCAGTTTCTGTATGGAGTCAAATATTGTGTGATGATTCACACCACAACACTCCTTGCAAACTGATAGTAGTAACTAACTCTAATTTCCAAGTAACTAACCCTGCCACACCATATAAAAATGAGACCTGGCTTACCTGATGGTCAATAATAAAAGATCTTCCACAGCAAAATCCTCCAATAGAAGCCAGTGAATTTTCCATGTTTGCACTGATAAGATCTATATCATCAATCTGCCAGTTAAATTAACAGGTTATTAATAGATGCTTTTGATTACATCAATTATATATATACATTTATAACACAAATCTATTAAAGATATATCTTGTTTGATATTATCATGAATACTAGAGAAGATCCACCAAATTATCACACATTAAACTGAAACTACAATTGAAATAACAATGTCAAGCAATACAAAAGGACTTCAGAAATTGAAATTTATGGATCTGTAGATAATTTACATAGGATTACTCTTTTCCAGGCATTGCAATGTGAAGAACACAAACAGAAAAAACAAATTATACAGATGCTGGTGATAACTCTTCAAATCACTCAGTGTGACAATATCCTTTAAGAATGTAAGAGGTCCCACTGCAGTTAGTAGGAGGTTAGAATGTAACTAAGATTGAGCATAAGCCTAGTTAAATCAAACTTTGAACCTTAGAGACACAATTGTCTTATTTCACTTGTTAGTTGCAAATACATTTTTTGCCAGGCTCTGTAATGGACACTGATGAGCAGTGAAAACAAAAAGATTATTTTTGTAAATTAATTTCATGCAGAAGCAAATTAATTACGTGGTACTTGGCAAGCCTCATAGCAGCACTGTTTGTTTCCTTTTCTAAAGCTATTTAACATTCATTTTATCTTTTCCACTTTTTGATATTAAGACACTTAAAGTGAAAATCATAGGATATAGGGGAAGACAGAATGAATTCTCACAATTTGATATTTCACTTCCAAAGCCAACTCAGAACTGTCAGAAATGTAGCGAGACATGCTCCACATCCAACCAGAAGAGCACTTCTTCCTTCCCCAGCTCAGGTGGCTGTGGTAGCAAACAATCACAAGGATTTAATTTTTGACTTCCAAAGTACTCCTCGGATGAATAAACACCATAAAAGGCAGACACTTGGAACATCCTTCAAAGGACCATCAAAAGCTTTATCCTATTTTTCTCCACTAGGGTAAAAGGTGACAGAGCAAAGTCTGCTGGATATACACTGAGAAAATTTTTCTGACTTTTGGCCCCCAAATATTTCTGTGTAAGCAAGGGACCTGCTTGGCAGAGTGACAAAGTCCTGGAGGGAAGAGGGGCCCAAGAAAGCTGGTCAGTATTCAAGGGCCATCTCCTGCAAGCACAGGAGCAGTGCCTCCCCAGAAAGAGGAAGGCAAGCAAGAATGCCAGGAGGCCTCCCTGGATGAACAAGGAGCTCCTGGACTTACTCCTGCACAAAAAGTAAAAATATAGGAAGTGGAAGCAAGAATGGGTTAGCTGGGAGGTATACAAAGAGGCTGTCCAAGCAGCCAGGGATCAGGTTAGGAAAGCTAAAGCCCAGATAGAATGAAATCTAGACAGAGACATAAAGGGGAACAAGAAGAACTTCTACAAGTACGTCGGTGATAAAAGGAGGACTAAGAAAGACGTGGGCCCTCTCTGGAAGGAAACTGGACACCTGGCCATGAGGGATATGGAGAAGGCTGAGGAGCAAAATTACTTCCTTGCCTTGGTCTTTACCTGCAAGAGCTCTGGCCACACTGCCCAAGTTGCAGAAAGTGAAGGTAAGAACTGGGAGAAGAAAGATCCGCCCACTGTAAGTGAAGATCAGGTTTGAGACCATCTAAAAAACCTGAAGGTGCACAAGTCCATGGGACCTGATGAGATCCATCTATGGGTCCTGGGGGATCTGGCAGACGAAGTTGCCAAGCCGTTAACCATCATATTTGAAAGGTCATGGCAGTCTGGTGAAATTCCCACTGACTGGAAAAGGGGAAACATAACCCCCATTTTCAAGAAGGGTAAAAAAGATGACCTGGGGAACTACAGGTCAGTCAGTCTCACCTCTGTGTCTGGCACTATCATGGAGCAGATCCTCCTGAAGGCTCTACCAAGGCACATGGAAAATGAAGGAGGGGTGACTGGTAAGCAGCATGGCTTCACCAAGCGCAAATCGTGCCTGACAGATCTCGTGGGCTTTTATGATGGAGCTATGGCATCAATGGACAAAGGAAGAGCAACTGACATAATCTACCTGGACTTCTGCAAAGCATTTGACACTGTCCCGCATGACATCCTGGTGGCCAAATTGAAAAAATACGGATTTAATGGATGGACCACCCACTGGATAAGGCACTGGCTGGATGGTCACTCTCAGAGAGTTGCAGTCAACGGCTCAATGTTTGAATGGAGACCGGTTCCTCAGGGATCGGTCCTGGGACTGGTGCTATTTAACATCTTTGTCAGCGACATGGACCGTGGGATCACATGCACCCTCAGCAAGTTTGCTGACAACATCAAGCTGCGTGGTGCAGTAGACATGCTGGAAGGAAGGGATGCTATCCAAAGGGACCTGGACAGGCTTCAGAGGTGGGCCCATGCCAACCTCTGACATTCAACGAAACAAAATGCAAAGTCCTGCACATGGGTCAAGGTAATCCCAAGCACAAATACAGGCTGGGTGGAGAATGGCTTGAATGCAGCCCTGAGAAGAAAGATTTGGGGGTGTTAGTAGACGAAAAACTGAACATGAGACAAGGTGTGTGAGGCTTTGAGCAACCTGGTCTAGCGCAAGGTGTTGGAACCAGATGATCTCTAAGGTCTCTTCCAACCCAAACTATTCTATGATTCTATGACACTTTTAAGTGTATGTGGCTGGAAAATACTGCAATCATCATCTCAGGGTGAGGAAAAGGATAAAACTATGCATTGTAAAAATTATTTCACTATATGCCTCACTAAAGATAAGGAAAACTATTTCAAGTAATCATGTGAAAGAAAAGTGCCAAGACTTGAATGTTTTAAGACTGATAAAGAAAAGTACGTTTAAATTTCTATCGTACACTACTAAATATTGTTAAAGTCACAGGTATAAGAAATCAGTTCTGCAATTTGCTTCTGTACAAGTCTCTTGCTCACAAAAAAACTCACAAAAAAGGCACTTACATTTATTCCAAAGTGTTCAGTAATTCCTCTTCCACGCTCTCCAAGGACTCCAAAGGAAAGGCTCTCCTCCAAAAATATTCTAACTTTGTATTTATACTTTAATTTTATCTAGAACAGAGCAAATGATATAAAATACAAGTCAAGCTGTTCAGAATTTGGTAACAAAATGGGTGGGAGAGATAAGGCAATGACAGACAAGTACAGTATCCCAAATACTACAAAAATGTCAGCTCTAGAGTGTTCTGTTATTGAGACATTTTAAAAGCCTTCAACATTCTTTCACCATTTAAGTCTAGAGTAAATTTTATTTATGTTCATATACATGAACAAGTATCAAATACTTTCAAGATTATCTATTTATGCAGCATTTCTTCCATTATTTACTAGAATACAGCCTGCACAAAAAGCCAATTTATGCTGAATAGCAAATGTTTTCCTTGGAGTCACCATTTATGACAGCTGTGCAACGGTTTCTTTAAAACTTCATTTTTCTTTTTTTCCAGATATAACTTAGCTTAGCGATTTAGCATCATACATCATAGCTGAAAATACAGTATACTTTACAGGTTAAAAACTAAGACTATAACCAGATATTAATTTGCAAGTCTCATTACAGATAGTTTCAGAATCCTAATCCTGATCAGAAGTTTCAAAACAATGTAAGATTTAGGATTGCCATTTCATGAATGTTTGAGAAAGCAAGAAGGTAAACAAAGACCTGCATGCACAGCTTTTCTGTGTAGGCTTCACTATATGATATTCCTATTTCATCATCCACGTGTTTTCATATGCAGAGTTTAAAAGGCAAACTGAAACCACTTACCAATTCTGGAAGAGGACAAACATCTCCTGTGTTCATATACAATCCTTCCACTACAATAAACCTTCGAGTTACACGTGCCTTGCGAGGATTCTTCAGAGAAAGATATGGTTTCATTTTGTATCAATTGTTACTAACAAGCAAAACTCTGAAGATTTTTTTAATAGGGAAAGGCAGTAATGAGAAGGGAAGAAAGATAATGTCTCTTTTTCCAGTAAACTTTAGTTTAAACTTAGTATTTATTATTTGCGACGAAAATTGTAATGCCTCATTGGATTAGTTTTTCTTTATTTTGTAGTAATTTTAAAGCTTGTAACTCTTCGTCAAGATTTAAGATGCCTTGTTTTGCAACAAATCATAACCATTTGAACTTTATGAATAAAAGAGATACAATATAACTACAGAAAAAATACCGCAAATCTTGGTCTATTCATCATCAGCACAGCACAAATGTTTCACAAGTAAACCTCTCTTCATAAAACACAATCCAAAGGTATTCATAACACTCAAGTTACAATCTCCTTGTCTGGTCTCTGGACAATATAGGCCATAAGAATATCCTGCACTGGTTTCTGTTTACACTTCAATGGTATGATTCGAGTTTTGTTATTTTAAAATGCCATTCCCCTGGTATTTACTTTAAACCTTATTGATACCTTCTGATCAAGGATATTAAGTCATACTTCTTACCTTTTTCAGTTCCTGTAAAAAGATTCAGAGAACACCTATTCGACTTTTCTGAGTGGTAGGCATGAAAACTATGCACAGTCCACTCCTCAAGCTGGACTAATTCTAGTGGTAAAATCTATCAGTACGTCTCAGTTATATACACATGGTGTATATTAAGCTCTTGGACACCAACTTTATGTTCACATTCAGCTAATTACTATAAGAAACTTTAATCTTATAGCTAAATCAAAGCACTCTGGCTCTAATAAACCAAATGTGTTACACAAATTGCATCATGAGTCTGTCAATCACATCTAAAAACTCATGCAAATATTATCTGACAAAATGTATCCTCCATGAAGGTATGTTAACTAATATGTTGTCTATAAATCTGCTATTAATCAGATTAATTACTGATTTAGACTGATGCTGAGCTGATGGGCTTATAATGATGCAGCTTATCTACTTTACTTCTTCTTTGTGTTAGCATAAAATGAGCTTTCTTCCAATTGTCTGTGAACGAGGCACACAATGGTGACAGCTCTTCAGCTAATTCTTTTAAAATTTGTTTAATCAAGTTACTTGTACTTGCTGATCCTGATTTTACTAGCTGTTTTTGGACACTCTTCTGTATTATTGTCAGAATGATAACCAAGCCATCAAACTGACCCAATTTTTTCAAGAGAAAGAACATCTTAAGAGTTGAGTGCAAGACAGGGGAAGAGTCTAAGAGAAAAAAAAAGAAAGAATCATGTTGATTCTACAAATTAAAGGGTTAGGACTTTTGTGTTGATTTTACAGTGTGGCATTCAAACTGATAATTAACTTGCATGATTTGCTAGGTAAATGCAGTTACAGAAATTTCTAAAAGACAAAAAAAAAAGCTCTGTAATAGTATTTTTAAAAAAGAAAAGAATATCACACTTCAGTCATGTGTCCATACCATAAAGATATTCACCCACCAATGTCTGTGGGCTAGCTTCAAGTGGTTATACAGACAAGTGGATATAAATACATAAATATATATTTTAAAATTTATCTTAATTACCTAAGCAACATTAACAATTCAACAGAGATTTATGAAAACCAAATAACTGCCTATAAGCATTGCATCCATTCAATTACACAACCCAGTAAAAAAAATGTGGGGGAGGTGGCACAAAAGATTACAAATATTTCTTCAAAGTAATGGTACCTTTTGATCTTCAGTCTCTTGTTCTTTCAACAGTCGTTCGAGGTCAGCCATATCATTATGCTTAAATAACTTGATGTTACTACGAGATGCTTGTAATCCCTTCTGAATAGCAAAGCAGGCAGCTTCATCTCTGTAAATACAGCAAGCCCTTCTAAGTTTGCACTCGGTTTAACAATTATTCAAAGCAAGCTGCCTATTTGGACTGTCCTGCTTTTGAGCAGATATCTGTACTTAGGTGTAGTTAAAACGAGATTTATTAAAGCATCATATATTTTATTTAGATTTTGAAAACTAATTTCTAAAGCTTCTCAACTTTCCTATGCACTATAGCTACTAAAAGCAAGGCAACAGTTTTTTTCTTCAAGTGTATACTGGTCCTTTTGTTTGTATGTGACAGCAGTTTATTTGAGCACAGCATTCCATGGACCAGGTACAATAAATACCACGGTAATCATTCCAGAAAACTCTCACTCCGTTTGCTCTGGGTCATAGAAAAAACGTGCAAACATGTTCCTGTAACATTTATAGTAGTCCCCCAAGTATTCAAAACCTGCTTTTTAATATCCTTTGGGAATTACTATCTCAGTGTTTAAAGAACTATCCACCATTTTTAAGAGTTGGAAAAACAAATCTCTGAGCATGATGGGGAATGCCACTTCACAGCTGGTGAAGTTGAGTCATCTTGTAATCTTTTGAAAGTGGCAACTAAATCAAACCTCCTGCACATGCTAAATACAGTAATTTCAATCAAGCTGCTTTTAAATATGGGGAGATCTTTTGTCAGTGAGAAGCTGAAACAGTACAAGATTTAGCTAAACCCAGGATACACCAGCATCTTGAATAGTGTGCACAATCCTGGCCATTCATCTCAAAAAAGCTGATCTGGAAAATGTTCAGATGACCAAAAAACATGACCAAATTTATGAAAGAACTCCTGTAAAGTAAGTCAAATAGGCTGCAAGCCTTACTCTTAGGGAAGAGGGCACAGAAGAAAAATTTTGGCAGACAAATATAAAAGTATCAGGATGTTGTGGCAGGCAGCTAAGCCCCACTTAGCCATTCACTCACCCCCCCATTGAGAAGATGCATCAGCTCACTGTTTAAAAATCAAAGGCATCAACTGAAATTAGTACATGTTATATTCAAAACAAGTATTTCTCCATACTTTTTCATAAAGTGTTCAAGTTAAACTGTGAAATTACACATCATAGGAGCACTGTAGATTAAAGATTTACAAAGCTACTACTAAATCCAAATCCTGCTCTTTGGCTCAGGAAGTTTTGCGTAGTGTTACATTGTTTCTCCTGGTTTTTTACTCTTCCCTAGACAAATTACGACTGGCTACTCTTGGGGACCAGATACTGGGCCTTCTGAACACTTCGACCCTGCATAGCTGTTCCTGTGTTATTTTAATATGTACCAATATTTATCCAACTAATCCATTGCAAACATGCATGAGTGCAACAACTGTCCTGCAAGAAAGCCAGCAGTAAACAGGAGAAAAGCAAATATGACTGTACAGTTTCTTAAGAAAACTAGGCTTCAGAATTCTGTTAGTTCTTGCATGTGCAACATTGGAGTGTTTTTTTTTTCAGCTGAGCCCCAAGCCTGCTCTTCTATGAGAAAAGCAGCATCAGATTTGATTTGGAGTATTTGGCAAAGAAAAGATATTTGAGCTTTATACCACAAAATACTTGATCAAAACCAGCACTATTTTCTAAATGGTTAATTTAATATGATTAACAATAATGAAAAACTAAAAGGAAAACTCTTTAATCTGGAATTTTCCAAGTAGAAAACAATACTTACACAAACACAATATCCCCTCTTTTCGAATATGCAGGAATAGCACTGGCAATTGTTGCAAATCCATATGAGTATATAATTGCTTCTTCTGTCCTCATGAATTTTGCTAGTCGTTCTTCTAATTCTAAGTGCACATCTATTTGAGAGAAAAATCAAAAATATATTAGATATTTACTTGTTTTTGTATCAGAAAGACCTAGAAATCATCTAATTGAAGCAAACAGAATGTTTGTAAAAAGTGTTAGAACAAATAACTTCCAAAAAAACAGCTGCAGCCAATCCAGTCTTACTTAAACTGAAAAGTAATCCAGTATTAATCAGAAACTTTGATAGATTTGAAAATATTTATGCAGTGTGGTTCTCTCATGTTCTTATGCAATAGTACTGAAAATCTGCTTGTGATCAGACCACAAGTAAATGATGCAGCGTTCCTAGACTGTGATTAGGGAGCACAGTTACTACAGTCAGACAACAAATAGCTATGTAATTTATAGCAATTAATGAGGTCCTGTTGGCAGACTGTCAGCTCTTCCAAACCAATGCTTCCACTGCATATAGCAGAGCTATCATTATAACAGAAAACTGCTCGTCAGGCTGCAATCATATACCATCACCTGAACGCACTTCAGCCAATTGAAAAGGTCACCATCTCCATGCCAGGGATTACTCACCCTTAAGATAAACTGACACAATTACACACACATAAGCATTTCCCAAACCAATTTGGTCAAAGTGACCCATGTTAAAAGCAAAACACCACTTAATCAAAATATTAAGAAGGGTAATACCCTACTGTGAGTGGATTGTTGCTCCAGAAAGGTGACCACAGCATTAAGTATTCTGCTTAAGCAAAATAACCTGTATCAGACAAACTTATTTTAATTGTCTAATTCTGTTGCCACTACCTGCTTCCACTAGCAAATATTAGTCAGAGAATTATGCCTTTTATCAACTGAAAATAAAAAAAGATTAAAGCACAAACAGAGGTCCCTGGTGTGCTACTTGAAAGATCATTGGTCAAATGCTACCTTTTTGCAATTATTGAAAGTTCATTGAAACTAAAATCAAATGAGGCAACATCAGTTAAAAATACAGATTTTTCAATAGCCTATGAAGTACAGTTACATCAATGTTGCTACTTCTAGCCAGGTACCAACAGCAATCCTCTGACTGTAGGAAGAATGGGCTTTGCAAAAATCTTAACTTTGCCATACTAAATAAATACCTAGCATAACCTTTCTTCAAAAGGGCACATCCACCTGATTCACGTATTTATACAATAAAAGCAAAACTTATGTCTTCAAAACACAGCTTCCCAATCACAGTCAAGAGCAATTTTATCCATAGACTGGAAGAGTATAAATCTTTAACAGTCCTTTCCTAATGTTTACCTGAGCATTAAAAAATGGAACTGAAAGGAATTATTTTATTTAGTTTTCCACTGGTTTAAATGGAAACAAAAAGTTTAATCAGATATTATTTGAAAGTTTTCTTCTGCTACCTCTCACTTTGATCCAGCTGTATTAGATATACCAAACATTCAGAGAAACTTAGATCAGACTTTCTTCTCCAAAGTCTTCTGAATGAAGGATATTGACTGGAGTTACCTAATCTACTTTCTGACAGATTTTAAGTGGTCCTTTTTCAGAATCTTTGTATCTTTTTCTTTACTGTTACATGGACTTCTAGACCAATGAAACCATCTCCAGTCAGGCTTCAAAACAGGACGGATGAACTTTGATTCGATTATTTAACAAAAAGCCCAGGAAAGATCTTCTTCTGGCGGCAAGCACCAAAAGAAGAGCCTGGCCACTCGGCACTTAAGATATGCAATATAAATAGCATTCAGCTAAAAATGTTCCTTCTTGAAGCCCTGCCAGTAGGGAATAACAAATTAGGGGGAACAAGGACTGAACTACTACTTTGAGTGCCCAGCCATTGATACCTAGTGGGGAAAAACGTTTTGTTTGAGTGTAAAAGACCACATACACCCTTTAACTAAAAAACTGGAAAAGACAAAACCACCACAGTTAAAAACAAAAACTTTAACGCTACTCACTGAGCTTTACAGAGCATCAACTACCATTACACTGAGCAAGGGCTAGGCAAAAACAGTGGATGAAAGAAATACTGTCATCAATAATGAGCTAACAAATATAATCAGATTTGTGTTAAGGAAAAGAATTTTACAAGCCTAGTAAATTTTGCCAAGGGCAAGAACATTTAAGTTCAGAATGACACACAGCATACACAAATTCGATACATCTTCACATAAGGGAATTAATGCTTTGTATAACTGTGAGGTTGAAAAGCTTAAGACAGTATTAACTAAGGCTTCACTACCATTGCGCCATGATAAAAACAGAATACTATCTGCCTCTCCTATTCTTTATTGCAGTGATTTGCTTTAGTCTGGTTACATCACCCGGATTAGCCTAGTTTTAGTGAAAGCTGCAAACACTACCTAGAGTACATTTGCACAGAGGAAGATACGATTGGAACAGCTTTCTATGTAATAGTGAAACCTTAATAAAGCTATTATCATCAATTGCTAGGCAATCAACAATAGCCTTAAAAAAACCCCACCACCAAAAAAGTGATACAACCCTCAGCTGTCATTATGGAGAAAATAACCATAAAGATTCAGTTATGTGTGAATATACTAGTATTTCAAGTCTATCACAGGATAAAGGCATGGATACAGTTTTCGGGGATACAGCACAAAACAAAAATGTCTTAATAGGGACTCACTAAATCTATGAAATCCCTTCAAACAGGTGGAGGTATGAAGAATCAAGTCTCAATTAAAAATACATTATAACACAATATCTACATTTCCAAATAAAGAGATCTCTAACACTGATATGAAATATCAGCCTCCAAGGGGGGATAATTCTGAGAGACAACAATTGCCAATCATCAATTAAATCCTATATGGTTAAGAGGAAAATAGGTACTTCTGGACAGAACATGACTTACTTACCAAGTCATAGTACATGAGAAATTGTGTTAAAAATTTGAGGCATACAACACCCTAGGATAGACAGATCCTAGGACTAGAGGTCCAAAGAGGACATGAAACAACCCCAAAAAATCTCTCACTTACCAGAGAAAATCAACTCTTACATCAGTCTGTTTTGAATAATCATTAGAAAGAAGGAAAGTGAAAGTTTTCACAAAACTTCAAATCAGCCTGGACTCAAAAGGGAGGAGGCATTAGTCCACAAGCTTCTCTGAGCTCTTCAGGGTTTTGTTTGTTTTTTTTCAAAAAAGGCTGTATGATTTCCAACAGATTACTGCTGAACTGTGATCAGTGAGGGAATCTAGCTTCCTAAAAGCTCACTCCTAATCAATGAGCTAACGTCACCTTCATCAGAAACGAATTATGGTTCTAGGCTAATGAACAATCTGCAAGATTGAGATCATAGACACAGCTTTGTTCTGACATACAGACTTCTTACAAATCAAAACAGGTACAGCACCTGGTTGATCACTTAAAGGACTAGCTTGATTAACTGAGAAAAGTTCAAGTTAGTCTTGAATTCAAGTCAAAGCTAGCTCTGTGAAATCATTTGAGTACAAACATACTGTGAATACCACCACCTCTGGGAAGAGACCAGAAAGTTCACAAGACAATGAGTCGATGTTATTAGCCTGCAACTGTGCAGCTATTAATGTATTCCACTTTGGTTTCCATGCAGTATTTCATAATACCAATGCCTGTAAAGAACTATTTCCAGAGGCTGACATTTAACAATTTACTGCTTCTTAAAAAGAACAAAAAAACCCTTAGTAGCACCTGCTCACATCATAAAAGCTCATAATTACAACATCAAAGTTAGCAGTTAAGGAAAACTTCTTTTTGACTACAGCATTAGATAAACTTAACTACTAATCTTTATCCTAGAAATCAGACTGCCCTCTTGTGGTCTACTTAGAAACTTATTGTTAATTTACACATAAATTCACCACACATGGTTAAATTCTAGTGTTTACTTTCTCTCTTTCTACTATGGTGACCAGAAGTAAAACAGATCATATTTAATTTTGCAACTCTCCTCCAAGACCAGCATAAGAAAGAGTAAGAAAACACATAAAACAAAGCCACAGACCAAACACACTACCAATCCTTAACAATTACAGTAAAAAGTATGTTAGAGGGTAACTGTTCTTCACAGCAATAGAAACAATTTGCTGCTTATATACAGGACTACTTTGACTGACTTACCAAACCTGTCTGAACACCTTTAAAGGCAGATCAAAGAAAGTTACTCACCAAAAGTACCATAGAATCCTCTAGGTCCACAAGTGCCAACACCATATTTCTTCAGAGATGCCTGGGCCGCACTCTTTAACAGAAAATAATTACATGAAATATTTATTCCTACACCAGATCTCTAACTCTTCTATACACTTCACATTGACAATTTTATACCTATGTGCACAGGCCAGCTCTTGCATCATTTAACAGACCTGCTTTACAGAAAGTAATGTACTGAATTCTATGAATTAATTTCACATCAAAACAATTTTAGATGAGTGTTTACACTTCATTCATTGTATTCTAATGATTAAAGACATTAGATACTCATCTAAGTTGATAATCATCTAGTACACAGTAGGAACACCAGGTTAAACTTTAGTAAAAAGACAAACTTAAATGGCACGAAATTACAACGTTTACAATCTTCCTTGTTGCTTTCTTAGAAGTGCACTTCCTTGACAAATTTTGTGCTTTCTGAAGTCATTCTGAACTTCAAAATAACACACAGAGGAATAATCACACAAATACAATAACTGGAAGAACTCACCTTAACCTTTTCATTATCCAAAAGTCCAAGAAAGTTAAATGATGCAAAGTTTATACATTCCTTGCCATTGACAGTGATTATATGGGTTGGAGGACTGAAAAAAAAAAATACAGACCTATTGTTATGAATGACAGTTGCCACTTGCATAAACAGTCAAATGGTACAGTTTTGTTTTTCAACAGTAAAAGGCACACAGCTTTTTCAGGATTCTCTCTTTCCACCTCTTCCTTTGCAGCTGACAACCAATATTTAAGTTCAGTGTCAAGTGACAAACATACTACCATACTCAACAAAAACTATATTCCTGTAGTTTAATAAAGAAACCACAAATAGCTTCCTGAGATATTTAACGATCCCTTCTTGAAAACTTAATTAACACAAAGATGACTCCTGAAGAGATAAATAACGCTTCTCCTTTAAAGCAAAGTGATACCTATTGGAAAGAAGGAATAAAAAATAAATTTAATTGCTACTTATTTCCATGCTAAAAATGAATTTAAAACCAATGCTTTTGTCATAAAGCAAACCCACAATACCAACCTTGTACTGAACAGGGATCCTGAAATATAGGTACTAGCTTTAAGTAGACAAAAGTATTTCACTACCTGTCATTTCAACTTTCCAATTCTGTTTAATGCATTACAGTTCTAATAACTCATGTAATCAGGAAACACAGAAAGTGTAAAAACAGTATTGATAAATTAACAAAAGCACAATATATATGAAGCAAAGGGCAGAGACATTTTCTGCCCCCCAAAAATTATGATTTAGATAAACAGTTATTAAAAAAAAAAATCGAACATAAAAATAGCTATCACCCCTTTAAATGCAAGCATCACACTTGTGTGCTGTATTCTAAAAGCAATCCTGTTTTGGCAATTATACTCTTCAATACTACAAAACCAAAAGTTTCAATTAATCACTTTAAGTGTTGAGAAGTCTCAATACTAAGACAAATAGAAAACTTTACGTCTGCCCATCTCTGTACACATTGTCAAATATTACAGTTGAGATCCTATACTATTCCTCAAACACAATAGTTTCAACAAGCTTTTCCCATGTGGAAACTAGCACTGTGCAATTTTCACAATCAAAATTAAACAGGGCTGCTCAAATGTCAAATGGCTGTTACAAATCTGGTTCCTGACAATATGTCACTAGGTACACTTGGTGTGCAAAGCAAATAACCTTTAAGTCCAATCTATTCACTACAAGAAAAACACTGAACTGCCTGAACCTCACTTAAAAAAACTCAATGGTTTTGTTTTCTATGTGCTCATTCCAAAAATTAAGCACGTTGCTTCAACCAAGCAACTGCAAAGCTTACAAAACAGCCTTGAAAAGCCTTCAACTAACACAGTGCATGTGCTGTGCAGCTTTATTACTGTCATTCCATGACATTAAACTGACACAAGCTGAACCTGACCCCACAAATGAGCAGTCCTGCATTACTTGCAGTGCATCATCTGCACAGGAGTTGCATTATACAAATGCGCAGCGAACTGTCTTGGGGAACTGACTGCCATTAAAAATATACTTGAATCTGTTCCTCTGTCTTGATCATCCACATGTTGTACCAAATGTTGGAAGTCCTATGAAGTGAAACTACTTAGGTTCGCAGTATTCACAAGACCAGACCTACATCTATGCCTTTCGGCAATACTATGAGGTTCTATTAAACCTGGTAAATTTACAACAGTTTGTCCCCACAGCTCCACCTCTCAAATGTAGAAAATACACGAACGTTCATCAATAACTTGCCTCTCACAAAGCTGCAGTCCTTATGAAAACTTGGCCACACTTTGCTAGCAGAATTTTACTCAGCCATCTAAAGAACACTCATGGAAAAGCTTATTCCAGTGAATAATTATATCCAAAACATGGATGCTAACAGTAACATCAAACTTTCCTTGCAACATCAAAAACAACGTCTTTGCAAAGAGAAAATAGTAAAACACTTAATTTCTTTACAGTTTCACATATCTCCCTTCCCCTAGTATAACACAGTTCATAGGTATCATGGTTAGGGAAAACAGTTATGAGATACCGACTGATCCAGCTGAAACCATAAATAAAAATGTGATTTTAAACTATATTCAAAGAATTTGAATGCAAGTCCTCCAGAAATTGTGCCCTTTAAGGACTGAAAGCACTTCATCTGTACTTTGACCCCTCACTTATCTCTGAAGTGTTGCATGTATTGAAAAATCAGCTGCAGAAGATTATAAAGTTAAAAAGCCAGATCACTTATGCTTTTTTATTTTAAAGCAAAACGAGAATCAGCATGAGAACTTTGCAGACATACTGTTTTATGAAATAGGTTTACACTTTCTGAATGAGATCCTGTCAACTAAGCCATCTTGCATAGATTAGCTCACAAAAAAGCTATCACTATAAGTAACTAATTTCCAGACTGTGACCGAGCTGTCGTAGGTAACTTCTTCACCGCATATTCAAGATTGGTCACTTTTTTTGCTTGGACACGTCTCTCCATTATTGGCTTTGCTTATAATTTGGCAATGTTACAGGGACTATACAAGTGTTCATCAGAAAGGAGCATACTAACATAAGGCACAAACTGCCTTGCATATTGAGGGAGGAGGAAGTCTGCCTCCCCTTCACATTGGGTCATAATTTTTACTGAAATCTTTACTACTTCCCAAGTGGTTATGAGCCCATATAAACCCTATCCACACATTGCTGCAAATATGCAATATTAAACCACCACATACTAAGATAAATAAGATTTATGTAAATCACTATTCACAGTAGACAGTAACACATGAAAATCATTGAAAGAAGATTACCCATTAGTATCAACAGGGTCCCCCTAAAATGCTAATTAAAAAGGGGCCAGAAATGCTTGTGAGCTGGAATTAGGATGCAGACGCTTTCATTTCTGTATTAATTATGAAACATGGGTTAAGTTTATAGCCGAATTTACAATCTCATAGCTGTTGAGCAATTTACAGGAAGGTAGTTAGTTGGAGGTTTAAATCTTACAAGACAAATGCCAAGTTTTCCCCATAGTCACTATGAAGTTTAACAGCCACAACACATTAACATTGTGTCACAATACGTTCCGTAGCTGTAAGCACTGGAAAGTTCTAAGTATTTTAAAGATTTTTAGGAATTAATCTAAAGATATATTTGTTCAGATTTTTTTAAAACATTCAACACTTCCTATAACTCCACAGTAATGCTTATTTCAAAATTCAGAACAGTAGCACAAGGATTGTTCACATCACAGCTGATTAACTGGTTTCCCTTTTCCAAGGTAGACTTCTCCATGATGGCAGAACCATTAAAATGGAGCTCCCTATGACAGCAAATAATTGTGCTCTGTCACTAAATTACTTTAAATTATTAGTGTCACTAGAAGGATATTAAGAATGTTTATATTGTAAAAGTTACTGATATAAACAAATCCAAAGCTTGTGAAAAAAATTTCAAAGCAATGTCTGAAACACTGTGACTTTCGCTTAAGTCAGTACACAGTTACAGCGTCATAACACACATGAAAGTAATATTGACCCATAATTGCCTCAGAAAACAACTTTGCCACCAAGTATCTCAATTTCTTATTGTCCAAAGAGGAACAACTTTCATGAGGTGCCGAGTGGCTAGCCACAAAATCACAAAATCAGTTTCTTCTGAAGTGATTAGCAATGACACAGTTTTCCCCCAACTCCTACACAGAAGGTGGTAATCACTTTTGGAAGTCTAAGTCTACACATTCACAAAAAAATTAAACAAATTACTTCCAAACAATATAGACCCACAATGAAGGCAAAGATAATGTGTCCCTCCCCCAGTCCCCAATATTTTTTTTTTAAATAATTAATTACAACATTTAAAGAAAGATTTTCTTAGTAAGATGGTCTTGACAATGTACTAAAACCACAACCATCTCTTCAGTGGCAAATTCAGTCCTGTTATCTAAAAATGCAATTCATTTATGAAAAGATTTAAGGATAAGGAAATGTTTAGTAAGAAATACGCTTAGAAAGATGGTCATCAAGTATTTGAGCTGAAATAAAAACTGTAATTTATTTTGGTTACATTTACCCTGAAACAATGTTGTAGTTGAGAGCTGGGTGATCTTTTGGTACAGGAGGTACAAGAGGCTCTGGCTGCCATTCTTCAATCAATTCTTCTTTTTCCTGAGCAGGAGAAAAGAAATACTGCTCAAAAAGGATTTCCATTAGAAAAGATGTGTTAATAAACAGCCAGTAATAGTTGTATGAGGAATCATATATATGTTAATATGTGTCACCTTTCTGAGATAGTTAAAATGGATATTATTATGGAGGGGCTCTGAATTCTTCAAAGGGGAGATGTAGAGAAAGATAACACAGTTATGTCTGTGCATTAAAGATCTCATAATATGGTAGCTAAGAGAAGAGACACCAAGGATGGTAACCCTGCCAAATTTTAATCAATAGTGTTTCATTCAATCTATTAATTATGAAAATCCTCCTCTACAGTTTATGTAACTGAATACAAATTACAAAACAGTTTAATATCAATCACCTCACTTTACATTCCCAAGTCTTTAACAGTGTTGTTTAAACAACCATGGCATTAAAATACTTAGCAAACTAACACACACATGAGCAGGACACAATGGAGAAAAACTGCTAAATGCTCAAGAAATGGTAACAACAGCTACTTAGCCACATATCCCCAACCCAACAACGGAGGAATACTGAACTCACATTCATTTTCAAAGTGCTTTTAACTATTTGGAAAACCTCAACTAGATGATTTTCCAAAGGACTTGCAGCAGACTAGCATAACAGGTGCATTAGAGTAGTTCCATACAAATTTGCAACAACTCAGGCAAATCACCAAAAATCTTCCTTCACACCATGCAAGCAGAGGATTATTTACTAGTAGAGCAAGATGCATCTGATAACATATTTATTAATACATTAACTTTCAATGGTATGACTACAATAGGTCTATATTTCTCTCTCTTTTCAACAAGCAGCAGAATACTTGAGGCTATTTATTTCAAGACCAAAATATAAATTCTGCAATTGATTTTTGGAAACATCACAGAATTTTTTTTCCAATTTTATTTTTTCCAAATACACTTTTCAAAGGCTTCAAAGTACAAAATCAAATTAAGATATGAAAAAAATCAAATGGAAACAACATGCAGCAATACAATCAGTATCCTGCACTTTAATCACTCTACTTTTACTAAGCTAACGAATAACTTTGTTTCTAGGTATTTCCAGAGTATTAATTAATATCCCAAGAGCTCCACAAAGGTTTATTTCAAAACACAAATGGAAATTTCAATAGCCCTGTATTTCAGAAAATATGCTTTTTATATGAGCATAGTCACTTGTGTTTCTAATATTTTGTAGATGTAGTTTAAATACCTTTATTTCACTTTCTCACGTTAGATTTCTTACTGACATTTAACCCATGGAGCATATATGTTAAAGGAAATAAAATGCCATTAATATGTGTAACAGAACTAATATACTCAATATTTTGAAGTGGCTACACTTACGTTAGAAAAAGAGCTTAGCTTCTTCAGCCACCATAGGCCAGACCTCAGGCGGAGCCTTGTATGCTTTGAAATGCTGTTCCACCTATTCAGGAAAGCACTAAACTGGGGAGGTTTATTAATTTACCCTGCATTTGTGCCATTCATAGCACATCGCTTAGCAGATTTTACTGCTTCAATTAAAAAAATGCAAACAGATAACTTAGCACCAGACAACAGAACAATAATAAGTTGTGTGTAAATACCATTGACTACTACTCATTCTTGCATTCTATTATCAAACCTCATGTTTGATATGCCTCAGCAAATACCTCAAAAACCCTATGGGAGAAAATTACCAGATGATACTCCCTATAAAGATTAACATGCAACACAGTACCAAAATTGTGGAAGAGCAGTACCCAAACTCAGGTTAATCCCAGAGTGGAGCCACAAATATAACCCTGTATGCTAAACTCCATTGATCCAAGACAGAGAGTGGCAATTCCATCCTCATAGCAGAACAGATACTAGGGTTCATATCTACACCATATTGCTATTTGAAAAAAAAAATCAAAGATGTAATTTAACACTAAGTGTGCTGACCCATACCACTGCACGACAGCAGCTGCGACAGTGTTAGTTCTCTCCCAGCCACAAATACATTTCTGTTCCTTGTGTCGGCATAGGCAGTTACAAGATCAGATAATAACCTTGTTCAGAAAAATTACCCAGATGAAAATTAACAGAGCAAACACATGATGGATATATAGTTAAACCACATCCCACAGCAAAGTAGTCCCTTCCTAGATAGGCGGATCCTACTCAGAAAGCATACCCTGAGTTACAGTTGCCAAGTAGTATCTTATACCTTTCCACAAGAGTTCAAAAAGACTTCTGAAAATCAGAAAGCAGGACATACGCTCATGCAGCCTTCACTCTGCTCCTTCAACAGTTGGTGCCAAAAGGCCCCAAGTCCCTGATATACCGTGGAGCTTGCATCAACAGCTTAGTGTTCATTTTAGAGCACAGGGTCAGGGTGGGGGTTTTTGTTTTGGTTGTTGTTTTTGGTTTTTTTGTTTTAATTAGGAAGCAGAATAAATCAGGTGAGAAGTGGTGCAGCTGGTCAGTTATGGAAGGACAAATATCAAATGCCTAGAGGGGAAGGACTTATGAAGAAGCATGGTGTTTCTTCTCTTCAAGACCTGAATGCAAAGAACATTTGAACAGCTCTTATACAATACGGTTCAAAGGCAGATCAGACAACATTAGCATACCTTTTCTTCAAAGAGTGAAGAATTAAAGCTGTGCAAGCATGTACTTAGCTTTTTAATTTAAGTCTAATTTTTTGAACTAAGGGTACAAAATATCACCAAACAGCTTAGCAACAGATATACAAATTCAATTTAAATCTTTTTACCATGGAGTCTAGTAGAAGGAAAAACAGTATTTATAAGAAGGACACTGTAACTACAAGAAATTAGCATATTACAATTGCAGTTGACATCTGTGAACATAAAGATAATGAGCAATTCCCAACTGGTACTTCTTAACACATTTACTGCAGTGAAAAACATACATCTGGAGGGCACGTTCATTTCACACAAATGGCTGTCGGCTGGAGAAGGAGCTTCTAGCCAAATGATGCCATGCAATCTCTCACAGCCCGCTCCAGCCCCCAGTGGCACTTTGCCACTTTTCTAGAGATTTCATTTTGGACAAAAAGCCCACAACAATCTCTATGTCTAGCACTGTCTGGCCACAGACTTATCTGTACTTCCCAAAATCCCAAACTCTCAGGAACTTATAGTCATAGAGAAGTACTCCACCTTTTTAGTTAATGATTTGGGAGATTTCATTATTTTGGAATAGAACCAGTAGGAACACCTACAAACACTGCCATTAAAGGATGACAGTCAGTTGAAACCTGATTCCTGCACTGGATTTTGTAGTACTCTTGCTACACAATTGACTAAACCCAGAAGCCACCTTTGGGGTGGATTTCTTCACTGTTTTAGAAGTGTGACTCCTAAGTGAGCTAGGTTGCACAATATATCATCTACCTCTGGTTCCCCAAGACAAACTGGTCCTCACAGATCACATTAAGATGGCTGTGCAATAGTAGTATTCTTCAGTAATATTTATCACACAGAGCCAGCTCTGCTCTGGCAGCATTCCCAAGAATAATTCACAGGGAAACTGTAAGTATCATTACATGAGTGGCCGACACAAAGGTAGCCTGAGCTCCACTGCCTGAACTGGCCTCTCTCCAGCGCCTGTACCTGAGCAATCTAGTATTTCTTTCTGGTGTGGTTAAGACTGGACACCACAGCATGAATCACACTAGAACAAATCAGCAGGCAAATCAGCAATCTCCTTGCTGAACAGCTGGCATGTTACTACATGCAGCTCAACATGCACACAGAAGCCTGGCTGTGTGGGATCCCATATTGTATGAAACAGACTATACTGTGTCTGGCTGGGTCAGTGTTAATTTTCTTCATAGCAGCTTGTATATGTTTCAGATCTGTGACCAAAACAATGCTGACAACACACTAACATCTAGCTCTTGCTGAAGAGTGTTTGCAGTGTCAAGTCCTTCTCTTTCTCACTCTGCCCCCACAGTGAATAGATTCGGGGGTGCACAAGAGGTTTTGAGGGGATAAAACCAGGCAGATGACCCGAACAAACCAAACAGATAGTCCACACCGTATGTCACACTCAGCAATAAAAGGGAAGAGAGGGGTTTTAAGGAAGTTAGCCATCTTTTGCTTGGGAACTGGCTGGGTGGTCCACCCATGGGAGGTGATGAGCGATTGCCTTCAGATCACTTGTCTTGTTTCTCTCTTCTTCCACTTCTCCTTTGCTTATTAAACAATTTTATCTTCACTCACCAGGTTTCTTGCTTTGCCTCTTCCTTTCCTCTCCCCCTGTTCCACAGAGGGTGGGGAGAAAGCGAGCAAGCCATTGTGCAGTGCTTGGCTGCTTACAGGGGTTAACTCACAACACAGATGAGTGTCAACTGTCTGTGGATGTTTAGGTAAAATTAAGGTGCAGAGTTTTTCCCCCCAGAGCTATTCTCCTACACAAAATAAATTATCTCTTTCCACGGCAATCACCTACTTTGTAGAAAAAGAGATGGAAACACTCCCTACCTCTGATGTATCAGTCTGCTTAAGTTCTCCAACTGTAGGAGACTTATTCACACTTTCACTTCACTGTTTTATTTATGCTGACTTTCAATAAACTATCTGTAGACAACACATTCCCTTCCAAATACAGTTTTTCCTACGGAAAACAGTGCTTCCATCTTCAGAGGTCAATGGTAAAGCCAACTAGACTAACTTAAATCTCCTTCATCATCAGCCAACCTGAACACACCATCAGACCAAAGCGCATACTATTCTTTTTGCCATCAAGACACAGGGAAAAAAAAAGCCAGAGCTGTTGATGCCTTTAACATCTCATGTCAAACCCTTTGCTATAACACAGCTATGAACACTCTGAATTTTTTTTTTTTTCTGTGCCTTGCAACCATGAATCAATGCATCCAGTATCTATACAATGCGATTCTTGATCACTCAAGATTTTTGCTAATATTCACATTCCTTTCCACCCCTCAAGCTCAGTAAAGTTTGTATGAATCTCATCAGAAGTATCATAGCAATAACTTATTTGCATGCTTCTATTCCTCAGAAAGCCTGTTATGGCTGTCCTGCCAGTGGACTTTACTGCTCTCACCCTAAAAAAGTAGGACTGTTATAAGCATGAGCCACTCCAAAAGTTTTTCCCCGTTTTGACCCCCTTCTAAGCCCTTGCTTCCACTGAGCTGCAACACACCAGCTACATGTGCGATCTCATAATTGCTCACTGCCCCCAGTTAACATATAGGACAATTTTCTTCCCCACACACCACGGTTCCAGATTTGTCCAAGCACTTTCTCAAAACACCTCAGATTTAGAAAAAGTGTCTGTCAGTGAATGAAGGAGATGACCTGCAACTGGATGATAACATTCAAGATGCACACAGAAAATTCTGAGTATAATCCTTAATCTGTAAGGAAGAGATAGGTTTCAGCTTTTTCAGGTCACCAATTATGCAAGAGTAGCAAAGAGCCTTTTTACACCATCTATGGCAGAGAGAGAGAATTTTCAAAAGGAAAAAAGTCATCCTCCAAAATACAAGAGATTAAAACTATCTGACGCAGAAAAAACTCTACTAAATGAACTACCAAAGTTTCTGAGTGGACAATCAGGGCCTACTTTAAAGCTGCAGCATGTCTTCCTAGATGATCTGAACACTCAGTGCTTCACCACACTAGACTTTCCTTTGCATTCACTCCTCCTCTGTATTCTGATCAAAGGCAGCAAAATTCAAGACTCCCAGGATCAATTCAAACCTTTCCAACCACAAAACTGAACCAGCCTTTCTTGATTCCTCCTCAGCTCACTTGCCTCCCGTATTAAATGCCTCCAAGAAACACACACTAAAGTGCTCCCTAGAACACTCTAAGATCATTTAGTAAGTACTCTCCAAAAGAGGACACTGCCTGCAGATTTGCTCACATTCACATACAGCCTCACGCCTATACTCCCTGCATCCTGCTCACTGAGGCACTACACTGAGCCCATGTTTAACTGTATCCTTAGAGAGAATAAGATCAAAAAGCATGTAAGCACACAACACAATGGGAATGACAAGATAAAATATCCATAAATCTGTTTCACAAACCTTCCTCAGTACCAGAAACTTCCAGCTTTATCTCAGTCATAAAGGATACCACTCCGCTGAAGCTCTAGCAAACTAAGCTTTTTTGTTATACGGGCCTTCAGATTGTTCAGATCAATCCCTCACATACACAAGGTGGCTGTCACATTGCAATACACTGCTACAGTTCATCTTTGACTGAGAAAAGTGAGTGCATCCTTGTTCACCCTACTATTTTCACCTTCAGAGGATGCATCCAATCATCCTTTTAACTTATCCAATGGCATCCTCTGATGTTATGCAGCAAGACCAATTACAGACGGTGTCCCAGACAAACAAGTCCAAGGACATCTCCAAAACAACCTACTCATTCCTGATAGTCTCCCAAATTCCAGTCTTCACAATTAAAGTTTGGTTATTTTTAAGACAACTACATTACAAAAGAAGAAAATTGTCACTAAAACTACACAGTTTTCTGGAACCTACTGAACACTGTAAACTCTCAGAGTGACTACTCACAGATACCACATGTATAGATTTGATCATTTTCCTACTCTCTACACTCTTATACTTCATTTTGTTTGTGGAGTGTTTTTAGTATAGCTTCCATTTTAAAACAAAGCCATCCCTTAAGTTGAGCTAATGGCAGTTTTTCATACCTTAGCAGTCATGGTCACATCATTTCTTTTATATTTCTCAGACTGTCAAACACAGTGCTACTTTAAAAGTACAAACTGAAGTGTTTAAGCAATAAGCAGTTTCTTAGTCCAAAGTAAGCTTACCTATCGAACTTCTAAGAAAAAACAGAACAATTTGTGATGCAACAATGGTTCAACAGACAAATATATCAATAGCTACAAATTGTTTTTCTAAAGAAAAATATTTTTTCTACCATACCTTAGGTGTTAGATCAGATCGCTCTTGAAGCTTGTATGTCTTGGAGAAAAGAAGTCTGATTATCCATAGAATTAGAATTCCTTCCAAAATGAGATGGTAAGCAGGAGCCTGAAAATAAAGCACAAAATTAAGCCCACAGAATTCTATTTGAATCAGTGTGACACTATGTAACAGTTTTGTCCATAATAATACAATCAGAAAAAAAATAAAGCTGACCATCAGCTGATATGTATTTCCAAGTCAGTAAAAATTATACAAAAGTGGATTGCTTTGCAACTACTTGCATCTTTTGAGTTTGAATTCATTGATTCCATTGTTAATAAACAAGACATACTCTAAATTGATAAGCGGTTTCAGTTCCACACATCCACATGAATTGAATATTAAGAGTGAAAGCAGATAACTCGTATGGGTTGCACCAGTTAACTGTGAAGGCAGAAACTTCCTGAGAGCCTGAAGGCTGGTTTGATCTATATACACCCACTTCAACCCTACATTCTCATAATTTATAATCCACTAGCAGCAACAGCTACCACTATGTAAAAGAAACCTAATTCTGTTCTCCTAGACCATTTTTGTTAGTTTCACACACACCTGAAGCGAATATAACCCAACACAGTCAGAAGCAGCAGTTTTGCCCCTGTGTCATTTATTCTCTTGTGTGGGTACAACATTTAGGAACATATACAGCAAACCAGAACAGAGAGTTGATCCAAGTTAAAGTTAGCCTTTTGGGGCACTTGGAGGGAGAACAGCCAGTTTCTTCTGTCAGCAGAGCTAGTCTGAAGTAGATGTGGACTTATGGCATCAGTATTTGACACCTAGTTTTAATGATGGGTTCAGTTATTCCATTTCAGAAAGGCTCCTGTCTACATTGCGGATGTCTACTATTTTTAAAAGACTCAGAAGTGCACGCACGCTAGAGCACTCCCCCTTCAACTCAGTGGAAGAGCTCCCACACAGCAATGTTTTCTGGTGGGATCTGACCAGCCAACAAAGGAAGTACAATGCACCACACACACAGAAACTAAAGGAAACTGAACACCATTTTTTAAAACCAGCAAGGAGTCCTATCACATCAAACGGAAAATAACAAATTTACCATTTGCAGAGTACTTTTCAGTTCACCAAAATATATTAAGAATATATATGTACACCTAAAGAACACATAGTATAGTAGCAGTAGAAGTCCACCCGAAATACTTCCCTGTGCTTTTCAGTGCCTACAATTATCCTGAATTCAGGGTATTACACTGTGCTACCAGCTTCAGTAGCTAGCCACTCCTGTGTTTGTACTGCAAACCCTAGTATAAATTCTTAAAAAGTTACCAACCCTTCCCAAAGGAAGGGAGCGAAAGAGGCTGCTGATACAAGAACACTGCCTATCATCAGGACATCCTTCTTAATAAAATGAAACAAAACCTGGATACAAACATGCCATGCTGATCCCCTCCAGAAGAGAACTCATGCATAAACATTTAAAAGCTGTTTCCTCCTCTGTAAATAACTCTTGTAAGTTACAAACCCTGACCTTATACTCAGAGAACACTGAATCTTATTAACTTTTAACACTCTTGGATACACCTTAAATGAAGCTTTATAAATTTAAACAGAGAAAAACACGAGTGCCTGCATCTGTTTTTTTCAATGTATAAGCAGGGCACACGCACATACATTCACAATTTCGCGAGTGGGGCCTTACACAGGCGGCACCGACCCACAGAGCGCTCCCGGCCCAGCCCAGGCCGGCCAGAGCCGGCGCCGCCCCG